TGCTCTGGTAGGGGGGTTGGACTAGATCTTTTGAGATCGCTTCCAACTCCTAAGATTCTGTGATTCTGTGAATATTTCTAGCAGCTAATGCAGATGCTGAGAGACTGAGTCAAATGTGTTTACTATTAACCTGAGAGCCTTGCATTTGTGTGCACTTCTGTCATAAATTAGAAATTACAGAAAAAAATAACTATGGTAAATCCTGACTGATAAAATATTACATATCCGAATGTGCATAATCATATTTTGAAATAATAAAGCTTTGCTTTTTTTGTTCTTCAGGTATACAAAGATGAAGACAGCAACCAACATCTACATTTTCAATCTGGCTATGGCAGATGCTTTGGTTACCACAACTATGCCTTTCCAAAGTACCGAGTACCTGATGAACTCTTGGCCCTTTGGTGATGTGCTGTGTAAAATAGTTATTTCCATTGACTATTATAACATGTTTACCAGCATATTCACACTAACCATGATGAGTGTTGATCGATACATTGCCGTGTGTCACCCTGTGAAGGCTCTGGACTTCCGTACACCTCTCAAGGCAAAGATAATCAACATCTGTATCTGGCTGTTGTCCTCATCTGTTGGTATATCTGCAATAGTTCTTGGAGGTACTAAAGTCAGGGAAGGTGAGTGTGAGCATTTAAATTTAAATCTTTTTGTTTCTCAAATGACATAAAATGTAGCTTGGAATATTGACTATACCTGATTGATTCCTTCTTCAACAATTTGTGCAAGACAGCATGTTCATCCAGATTCCTTAGTTCAAAAAGTATGTCTAAATTTCTAACATTTTGAAATATATTGTGGAACATTACACTATGACATATAAGTTATTTAAGCTCAGATGCCTTTGCCAACTAAAAGAACAAAATGCACTTTGAAGCATTGTCTGTGATGATACCATCAAAAACTACTAGCAGCCATCAGGGGAAAATAATCAGGAATTTGATTGCAGTGGGCAGACCTAATATCAGTTTAGGATGAAACTTGAAGTGTGGGGTTAAGGTGCTTTTTCTAGATGTTGTGAGAGTTGTTCTGATGAATTTTCAAGAGCAGAAGCTAGATTGCTTGTCATTAGTATTAATGTTAAAACTACCACTAGTATTAAGACTTAGGAGCTTGTTATCAACAGCCATTTCACCGAACCTGAAGGCATGGTGAAGAAAGGAATAGTCAGTATCTGGAGATGGAAAATCTAACTAAATTATATTTGACAGTATCTCAAATTGTTTTTTAAAAAGGGATGGTGATGTTTATGGAAACTTGGGGAGCTGAGAATAAGGATCAGCTGGCAGGGAAGCAACTACAAGAACAAGAAGTCAGTGAGGTCTGTATGCAGACCACCTCTAGGCTCTGCTTAAAATTTATAATCCATCAAGGACTGCAGATTTAGCATCTATAACTGGTGACTTGTTACCAAAACTGTCCTGCTATGGAGTTAATTTTATTTTGAAATCTTCCTTGAGAAGAAAATGGGAGAAGCATTCTCACACATATACCTTGTGCCCACAAGCATGACAGTGGTGCAGAAGCACCTCAGTGTCTTCAGAAGACTTGAGGCCTTTAATGATGTTCTTGTGTTGGGGCTGTCTGTTATGGATGGCTTGATAAAATACGAGACATGCATATTTATTTGGTTGTAGTCTTGTTTAAGATGTAGATAATGTTTTGAAGAATGATTAATAAATTCCTGCACTAACAACCTTTCTATTAGAAAGACTACAATCCTCCCAAGAGAAATGGTAAGCTTTAAATAATGACACCATTTCATCTGGCAGAGACAGTAAATGCTGTGTGTTAAATGGTTTGGGATAGATCAATGCAAACAAAACATTTCAGTAACAGCTGCTCAAGGGCTGATTGATTGGCTGAAAATGTATAGATTTTGTTCTTACTGTTGGTATTCTGATGGTTAGGTGATAGGAAAGTCCTCTGGGAAATCTTCTTTCAGCCCCTTGGGTGATCAATTGTCCTGGTCTGCAGTGCCGTAACTGTTCTCCTCAGTAAAATTATGACAGGCTCTATAAAACAATGTCTAGCTCAGGAAACATTTACTTTCAGGTATCTTCATTTGGAAAGAATCACTGTCTCACTACATATGAGATCTTGAAGGCCACAGGACATTGGCTTGGTCAGGTGTTTTGTTTGAAGAGTGCTTAACTAGCAGGATATTTCTGTCATTCACTGTAAGCATCACATGCAGATCAGGGGGCTGCTCTGAGGCCAGCAATGGTTAAATACCTTTTCCACGCTACACGTCAGGCAGTTGCTTTTTGTTGTTTCTGTTGTTTGGGTTTGTGGTTTGTTTTTTGGTTTTGGGTTTGTTTTTTTTCCCCCCTGAAACAGAGACTGGCAATACACGGCTCACCTGCGTCAAACAAGGTTGGAAATTATGGGCAAGTGCTTGTCAGCCGCTACTGCTCAGCCCTGTTTGTCTGATCTAAGGTCCTGAGCATTTACTGCAAATTATCTTGTCTGGTGCGTTCATGAATTGCACTGATGAAGGGGAAAAGCAAGGATCCTACCTTTGCGTGACAGCTGGAGCTTGGGACTGAAGCTTTATGTTAAGTTGGTCAAAATAGTTGTTGTTTCTATACTACAAGGCCTCTGTTGGATTCAGATTTAAGCAACAACTGAACATCAGATGGAAAGTTCTCACCCCATGCTTGGTTAGTCCATTTTCATCTCACAGGGCAGGATTGCTCTCAGTGGTTTTCTTATGGATAAATTTGCCCTGCAGAATAAATGTTACATCTGTGTAAATATTCCCTCTCTGTCCTTAATGGAGCCTTTCTTGCTGAAGAATTATTCACGTAAAGAAAATAAAAAAACCAGAGGTATTATTAATATTACCAGTAATAATATGAACACTCCATTTGAGTACAGAAGAGTATGGATGCCTGGATGCCTGAAGGTGACATAATCAGTAATGCATCTAACAGAAATATATTTACAATGTAAAGACTGAGATTAATCTTAAATAGTAGTTTATCAAACACATTTTAAAATATATTTACACTAAGATACCAACTGGAATGCAGTATTTTTCCTCAGATATATAGATTTTACTTTCAGAATGGAAAAGGTCAGCATGAAATCTTAAGCACTCAGTTTGTGACACTGTATACTTAGTTCTGTATCTTTTAATGCAATAAGAATAAAACATAAATTTGCTTTTATTCTCCTCCAAAGTTCCCAAAAATTATTATGATATTGTGCGCTATGATAAGGATCTTTGTTGATTTCCCAGGCATAAACTAGGAAAATATAAGTGGGTTCCATATGATTCATGGTATTATATATCTATAACATTAATGAATTTAGAATAAGATTTTCTACAGAAAGTAAACTATAATAAGATGTAAGACAATAATTAAATTTGTATTTAATTTATTAATAAATCTGTATCCAGATATTGTAACTGCATCCTGATTTCATTGCTGCTGCTATGCTATGATCTACTACAAGTAACAGTAATAATCAGCATGAAAAGTTCTTTGAAGACAACCATTGGCATTTCCAGAATAAAATTAAGTAAAAAGAAACTACATTTACAAAACCTAGATCACAAAGGATTTAGACAAGTTGACTAAGTGTCAAGATTCTGGCAAGTCATGCTTGTGCTGTCATCTAAGGAACCTCCATCAGGCCTGAAAAACATGTTTTTTCACTTTACAGCATTCAGAATCATCCACCAGTTGTTATATTATTTAAAATAAAACCCCAAAATATTCAGCTTTGGTTTCAACTTTTTTATTTGAATGTTTTAGTATTCAGTATTGCCCAGTGACAGCTTTCTGATACCTATCTGCAGAAATGTCTGTATGATACCATAATTATATCTTCCTCCTCTAGTTGTTCTTCCAAGCAAATTCTCTGCAATATCATCTTGATTTCTGAAGTATTTTGATAGCAGGGAAATATGGTTTGATGGATTTTTTATGTGTAGTTTTGCTGGAGACAGATATGACAAAGTGATGTGCAAAAGTATATTGAATCATTCCGCCCTTAGATCTGATTCAATAAAAGTCAATACATAATAATTTGTAGAGGAATGAGAAATTCAGTTGGGGAAAAAAAAAAGAATAATGCAGTGCTCAAGAGGATAAAATCTAAGCTACAATTCTGGGTGAAAAATACCTGTGTTAGAGTTTAACAGCGGATATTAGTTGTAAATTTATCCCTTCTCTTACCTTGCCATTTATCTTTTTTCTTGTTTTTTTTTTTTTTCATGTGGTTTGTATGCTGGAAGGCTGCAATGATGTCAGCAAATGAAACCTCAAATATTTCATTCCTTAGCAGCCTCTTGTCAGCTGTAATATTTCTGGGACATAAAATAAAGTGACAGCCTGTGACTCTCAATCCTGGCAAGGACAATTAGAAAGGGAGTGGGCTGATGTCGGTGGCACAGATCCTGCAGTGAATTTTCAATGACATGATCTGCAAAAAGAGCTTCCATTTGACTCTGTGCGCACACATATTTTATTTGCTTCTATTTAACTGAAAAGAAGCTGTTGCCAGGAAATAAGTTTTTCTGAATGCAAGCACTTATGTGTATTCCATTTGCACTGAAGAAGGCACGTGGGAAAAGATTATTAAACAATTATCTTATATTGGCAAAATCTTCCTACGATCAAAACCTCATTTGGCTCCCACCATTTGCAATACCAAAAATCTGTCTCTGCCCACAGACAAAAACATATGTTGTTTGATAATAATGATGAGATTTCTACTCCATTGAACATGGTACTCATTCTGGCTTGAAATCTCAGTGAGATTCAAATGGAAACATCTTTATCTTTGTGCTCTGCATTTTTAGATACTCCTATGGGAAACAAATTTTTATACAATGTTATGCATTTTAAAAAGCCACTACCTCTCTAAGTAATTTCTAGAGACAGCTGCATAAAACCATTTTTGGAGGTAATTGAAAGCTTTCTTCAAAGTGATTTAATGATAACTCAATTTATTTGTATCACATTACATGATAATCACTTTTCCTAGCTTATGCTATGATAATTATATTGTTTAGAATATCTAATAATAAAGCAATTTTCTTCTTCTTACTTCTTTCATTCCTAGATACTGCTAGCACTGAATGCTCCTTGCAATTTCCAGACAGAGATTACGTGTGGTGGGACATCTTCATGAAAATCTGTGTCTTTGTCTTTGCATTTGTTATTCCAGTTCTCATTATAATTGTTTGTTATACCCTGATGATCCTGCGCCTTAAAAGCGTACGGCTTCTCTCAGGGTCTCGAGAAAAAGATCGAAACCTGCGCCGCATCACCAGGTTGGTTCTTGTGGTTGTGGCAGTTTTTATTATCTGTTGGACTCCTATTCACATTTTTGTGCTGGTTGAAGCATTAGGGAATGTGTCCCACAGCACTGCTGCCATATCCAGCTATTACTTCTGTATTGCTTTGGGTTACACCAACAGTAGCCTCAATCCAATCCTCTATGCTTTTTTGGATGAAAACTTCAAGAAGTGTTTCAAGGACTTCTGCTTCCCCTTTAAGATGAGAATGGACAGGCAGAGCACCAGCAGAGTCAGAAACACGGTGCAAGACCCGGCTTATATGAGGGAAGCAGATGGGACAAACAAACCTGTATGACTAGTCGTGGAAATGTCATCCTACTGTCCTCAAGAGAGAGAAGAGTCCAACGACCTAGGACTGACGCAGATTACCACTGCAGTTTGAACTAGACTCACCCAGGCAGATGTTTCTGGAATATTTCGGAAATCCTAATAGTTTGAACTAAAACAAGATAATTATTGACAAACAAGAACCTCCTGAAAATAATCTCAGATGAGAAGGACTTGACTGAGGGTCAGGTTTTGGCACTATGTTTGCTGTACTTGAGCAGTACATACTTCTGGGGAGACAGAAGACAGTGTAGTACCAGCTGATTCTGGATGAGGAAAGCTCTAACTTCTCTCTTTACAATATGTAAGGTTATATTAAGGAACATTTGCTCCTAAAACTGAATTATACTGGAAAAAGAGTTTTGCCCCAACAGTGATTGTGTCTGAACTATGTAGTTTAACAACTTGATTCCTCATACTCTTTTACAGTGAAGAATGTTTAGGTTTCTGCAGAGCAATGCCAGAGCTATAATCAATATTGTCCTCAACTAATATATTTGTAACATTTGTCTGTGCTGTGGAAATCCAATTTAAGCATGGTCTGCCTACACACCAAAGTGTTTTTATTGTGTCGATGTATGGTACAGCATTTTGACATTTAAGAATAATGGGATTTAAGGAGAATTTGTGTTATATTTTTAGCACGTGTTTAATCACCTGTGTGTAATGTTTTCTACGTGTGATTTTCCAAGATGATTGTATATATATTGCTTGTGAATAATATAATATGCATTTTCAGAGTGCATTTTCAACAATAGATAAGAAAACTTCAAATTCTTCACTTGTTGCAAAACTGATGAAAAACCATGACACATTCATTACATGGCGGGAAATAATTGCATCCCATTTTCAGTAAAGGGGACAAATTGACATACTTAAAGGTAGTGCTGTACTTGTTTTCCTGGGCAATCTGTAAGCAGACTAAAATAAATATTTGAAGACACAGAAACTGCTGAGTTAGCACATGGATTAACTGGGTGGATATTGAACCTTATGAAAGGAAATTATGATTAAATATACTGGTTGCTTTAATGGCACTTGATTGGAAAAGTTTCTATTTTATTGATGATGATATGTTTTCTTTGATACAGTTCCATGAATTCAGTAAATTTCTCTGTTTTCCTGTGAAGATGGAAATGCCAAGGCATAGAATGCAAGTTACTGGCTTGCTAAAGCTAGGTTTATTTTAAAACTGAGCCTTTCAGTTTGTAATCTTTGGTCTTCCTAATTGTTATATATTACCACTCCTATTTCTGCTGCTACTGTAGTTTGGAGGAATGCTCTTATTATCTTCTCTGGGAACAGATCTGGCCACAGGAAATCTTCCTGGGAACTTTGTTCTTTATACAGAATCATGAATAAGGTGACTGCCTTCATTGCATGGCAGATTTTCTTAGAAACATAGCCTGGTTTGGTCCTACTGGGACAACCAACCAAAAATCCTTTATGCACACAGGTATAAATATTGAGATTTGCTCTTGCAGCTGGCAGTACAGTTCCTGTGAAAACACTGTAGGGATTTAGCCCTCTGGATAACTTCCACACACTTTATTGTTAATACAGTCATGTATGTAAAATATTTTTGGTATTGGGTCAATAAATGCAGTGCTCCTACGTTCATCTTCCAGTACTAAACCAATCTTGAACAGTCAGAGGTGTTCACAGCCTTTCAGTGGTGCTGCCCAGTGGAGTAGAGCCTCAAGATTCAGGCCATGGAGTTTGGTATGAGAGAGCTAGCTGCTCGAATACAATTATCTTTGTTAATGAAAAAATTCAAAATCATAATTTCTGGACAAATCTAGCACTTTCTGATTGTTTCTATATGATGAGTGAATAGCTGACCCCAGGATACTTGATTTACCTGGGGAATGAATGATGCTCACACAACTGATTGTGTGAGTCTGACTTCCTGCTCTGTACTTCTTTCCTTTTTTACATGCATACACCTTGTGAAACAAAGTTATGAGCTTTAAACAGCCACAGAAAGAGAATTTTTAAGGTAAAAAACTGACAAATCAAGCTGTTTATCAAGGTAGTAGTAAATGGACTGTGAAAGAATTAGGCCCTAATTAATTATTTTAATTCCAAATGATCTGTGTTCTTGTCAATGATTTAACATTTGCATATGTATATCTGTGTTTCAATAGAGTTATTACTCTATATATTCCTCAGCATTGTAATTAAAAATCAATTGTCTTAATTTCTAAACAGGAGCTTTATAATCATAATTTTTTTGTGATTATGTTTTCAGTAAGGAGATCATCTTCACTGTCATAGTGGGAGCAAAGTAAGAGATCCTAGCAATTTTTCTGTGGTGTGGAAATATTATACTTGAAAAGTGACATAAGAATACGTTCTAAAGATTTATTTCTTTCCATTGAACATTAACAGCCAAATTAATCTGGATGCAGCAGAAAGGAGTCTTGGACATTTTCTTTTTCAAATCAGGCAACTTACCACACTTCATTGAACAACAAAGAAAAGTTAGCCAAGATTTTTTTTATAGCTAAGAAAGAATATTAAAAAATAATATTATGTTTTTGCTCACAGAATCTGCTTCCAGATGATTAAATTCTCACTGTGTGTTCAGCAGTTCCTAGACTGAAATGACTACCAGGCAAAAGCAACTTTTCTCACAGGGACATACATAGTGACTTTGGAAATCTGTATTTAAGCCTTGTAGAGCACCTCACTCTTTGTGCAACTTCAGATAAATGACTTGCCTCTGTTCTTGAGTGGCCATCTATCTCCGGAAGGCAGTGAGAGATGGAGAAAGGGGTGAGAGCTGCCTGGCCCAGCTGTTGCAGTGCTTGCACTACCACAGAGTTACTGAAGCTTGCAGATAAAGTATCTTCTCTGAAATCTCAGACTTTTGCAGTGCAGAGGTACCAGATTAACTGCAGCGGAGGACTGTTTCAGTGTCACCTCTCTCATCACTGTAAGGTCAATTATCCTTCAGATTTTAATACTCTTCTGCTGCCACTAGAAAATTCCTACAGTTAATTTTGTGTACTTTTTAATGCAGATTGCAAAAGAACAATTAGGTGTAAGAAAAGAAGAAAAAACAACCCTGGAAATATTATTCAAATCTCCCTGTTCTCGGAGATTTAACCTAGACTACACATTTTTGTATTCTGCTACAAGAAATAATAGTGGCCTTCTTTTTTTGTTTGTTTTCTTTTTTCCTTTTTTTTTTAAGTTGGGGAAAACTCCCTATGAAATCCTTGTGTGTTAAATCTCCTTCACTTAATTCTACATATCTTCTACACACTGAAAGTGTCTTTGTTCAAATAAGAAAACTATTGCCTAAGTTTTACACTACCCTCTAAAAGCCAAGGCGGCCAAAAGGTGTTCCTTTTGCCTTCAGCTCCTGTTCTGTAGTTCATTGTTTCTTATTTTCCTAGACAATATTTTACTAGTTTGGTCTTTTTTTTATTTGATTACAATCATGTTTTCCTCCTAACCTAATGAAAGCAAATAAACACTGAGAGAAAATTTACATAACCAGTTTCCATGACAGAGACAGCGTAGAAACGGAAAGAAAATATAATTAGAGTAATGCAAAAGCAGAACATCTCACTTGTGGTGCTAAGAATGTGAGGCTGTTTGGGTGCATGAGGAATAACTTTTTTCCTGTGCATGTGCACACGCATGTTCATGTGGAAAAGTATTCAGTGCCTCACTGCTAGTACATTCAGAATGCATTAAATTGAAGAGGAAACAAATATTCAGCATTATGTATTCTACCTACATGGATAAATAAAATATTAAAAGAAGATTATGTATCATTACTCAAATGTAAAAAATAAAATATGTCCTATTACTGTTTGTAACTAGAAGTAGTAAAGTTTTCAGGTAGTTACTGCTCTCATTTGAGGTGATTAATGCTGAGAGATGCTATCTTGTTTTGACAAAATTTTTCATTTAGCATCTGGCAAAGCAGCTAACTTAAGCTGCCACTCATACTGTCTTATATTGAACAACTGGACATCAAAGTAATCTTTAGATTTATGCCACTCCTTTTAGAGTGGCATAAAATATGTTCTATGTTTTTCTCTGCTGATACCAGATGTAACCAAAAGAGCAAGTTTCACATACTGTGAGATGTTTTCATTTAAATTACATATTTTACCTAGCTAAAGCAATGAGGGTTAGCTAATATTTTTCAGGCCAGAGTATTATTCTCAATTTTTTAACTGACATTGTCGTGGTTTAGCCCAGGAAGCAGCTAAACACCCTGCAGCTGCTTGCTCACTCCCCACATCCCTGGTGGGGTGGAGGAGAGAATTGAAAGAGTAAAAATTAAAGAAATCGTGGGTTAAGATAAAGAAATTTAATAATAAAACCAAACTTAAATAATAATAATAACAACAACAACAATAATAATAATAATAACAACAACAATAATAGGAACAACAATAATAGGAACAACAATAATAAATCAATCAAAATTATACTCAGCTCACAAACAGACATACATTGTCTGTATGCCAGCAAAACCGCAGTAGGCGAGGGGTAAGTCTCAGGAACCAAATGTGCTAGATCTTATGGAGGCGACAGACATCTGAAGAAGAGCATCATCCCCAGCAAACTCCCTAATTTATTGTGAGTGTGATGTTTATAATATGGAATACATTCCAATACATACTTGAAAGCAAGTTAAAAACTCATAATGAGAAGTACATTTATACATATAGCATGTATTGCCAGCACATGAAATTAAAGGCCATGGCTTAGTCATAGTTCAAATGAATTATTTATGCAGCAGAATCAGAAAGTTGAGAGGATACAAACCTTCAAGTTTTTAACTACCACTTCAGGCATTAAACCAACAATAACCTTGCCAGGAGCAGAACACAATTTCCAGGTGTTCAGGACACATAAGCAGTATTAACGCAAGGGAAGTTGGTGTCCAGCTTTGTTCCAAGCCCCTGCTCAGCACAGCAGAACATTTCAGCAGAGTTGCCATAGGAGGGATACTCAGGAATTTTAGGCTGAACTATGGTACCTGATAGGAAGGGAAACTAATTATAAGAATCAGCTTTTCCTTAGGACTGAGGAACTACAATTTTAAAACGGAATCTAAAATGGGAGCTATTGCTCAAGAAAGGAATAGTTGATGATGTACGTTGGTGTATGTGCCAAGGCATTCGGTATCTGCTGGATAGTAAA